TGTGAGGGGTGCGCCGAAATGGAGGTGGAACCGCATGCGGACCCTGACACTTGGGCCTTCGGTGGAGCTCCCTATGGGGCCACGAAACGTGTGAGGGGTGCGCCGAAATGGAGGTGGAACCGCATGCGGACCTTGCCACTGGGGCCTTCGGTGGAGCTCACTATGGGTCCACGAAACGTGTGGCCATGATGGAGACGGCGATGATGATGACGACGATGGTGATAAGAACGATGATGATGATGATGATGCTGATGATGACGGTGACGATGACGATGCTGATGATGCTGATGATGAGAGGAGGAGGAGGAGGAGGGGGAGGAGAAGGAGAGGAGGAGAGACGCGGGGCACCGTCTCTTCAAAACGAGGACCCAACATCACAGGATGGTTGGGAACAAAAAAAATTATCCTGGTGAAGGGCCCAACCATACGCAATTCCGAATGCCGCCGTTGTAAGTATCGTCGTTGGTGGAACACCCGATGGGGCCACGAAGCGTGTGAGAGGTGCGCCAAATGGAGGTGGAACTGCATGCGGACCCTGCCACTGGGGCCTTCGGTGGAGCACCCTGTGGGGCCGCGAAACGTGTGAGGGGTGCGCCGAAATGGAGGTGGAACTGCATGCGGACCCTGCCATTGGCGCCCTCGGTGGAGCTCCCTATGGGGCCGCGAAACGTGTGAGGGGTGCGCCGAAATGGAGGTGGAACTGCATGCGGACCCTGCCACTTGGGCCTTAGGCGGAGCTCTCTATGGGGCCACGAAACGTGTGAGGGGTGTGCCGAAATGGAGGTGGAACTGCATGCGGACCGTGCCACTTGGGCCTTATGCGGGGCTCCCTATGACGCCACGAAACGTGTGAGGGGTGCGCCGAAATGGAAGTGGAACTGCATGCGGACCCTGCCACTTAGGCCTTAGGCGGAGCTCCCTATGGGGCCACGAAACGTGTGAGGGGTGCGCCGAAATGGAGGTGGAACTGCATGCGGACCCTGCCACTGGGGCCTCAGGTGGAGCTCCCTATGGGGCCACGAAGCGTGTGAGGGGTGCGCCGAAATGGAGGTGGAACCGCATGCGGACCCTGACACTTGGGCCTTCGTGGAGCTCCCTACGGGGCCACGAAACGTGTGAGGGGTGCGCCGAAATGGAGGTGGAACCGCATGCGGACCCTGACACTTGGGCCTTCGGTGGACCGCGAAATGGAGGTGCGGACCCTGACACTTGGGCCTTCGGTGGAGCTCCCTATGGGGCCACGAAACGTGTGAGGGGTGCGCCGAAATGGAGGTGGAACCGCATGCGGACCCTGACACTTGGGCCTTCGGTGGAGCTCCCTATGGGGCCACGAAACGTGTGAGGGGTGCGCCGAAATGGAGGTGGAACCGCATGCGGACCCTGACACTTGGGCCTTCGGTGGAGCTCCCTATGGGGCCACGAAACGTGTGAGGGGTGCGCCGAAATGGAGGTGGAACCGCATGCGGACCCTGACACTTGGGCCTTCGGTGGAGCTCCCTATGGGGCCACGAAACGTGTGAGGGTGCGCCGAAATGGAGGTGGAACCGCATGCGGACCCTGACACTTGGGCCTTCGGTGGAGCTCCCTATGGGGCCACGAAACGTGTGAGGGGTGCGCCGAAATGGAGGTGGAACCGCATGCGGACCCTGACACTTGGGCCTTCGGTGGAGCTCCCTATGGGGCCACGAAACGTGTGAGGGGTGCGCCGAAATGGAGGTGGAACCGCATGCGGACCTTGCCACTGGGGCCTTCGGTGGAGCTCACTATGGGTCCACGAAACGTGTGGCCATGATGGAGACGGCGATGATGATGACGACGATGGTGATAAGAACGATGATGATGATGATGCTGATGATGACGGTGACGATGACGATGATGATGATGCTGATGATGAGAGGAGGAGGAGGAGGAGGAAGGAGGAGGAGGGGGAGGAGGAGGAGAGGAGGAGAGACGCGGGGCACCGTCTCTTCAAAACGAAGACCCAACATCACAGGATGGTTGGGAAAAAACAGCGAAAACCCGTTTCCCAGGAATCCTGTGTATAAAAAAACAATACGCGGGGGGGTGTCGGATATCTTCGGGACGCCATCAGGGGAAGTGGGAGAGTATTTTCACATTGTGTAAGTGTGGAGAGGAGGAGTGAGGAGGAGGAGGAGGAGGGTGAGGAGGAGGAGGAAGGAGGGGGAGGGAGAGGGGGGAGCGGTTGAGGAGGGGAGGAGGTAGGAGTAGGTAGGGATGGAGAGAGGGGAGGGGAGGGCAGCGGAGAGGAGAGGGTTCAGAACAGGCGGTGGGAACCTCAAGCCTCCTCCGCGTCGCTGACTCCTGGGACGCGCACCGCTTCCTTGATACGAGTGTGCATCTGAAATGGTATCGCTGCAACTCGCGTCGGTGGGCCTGTCTGCATCAACACATCCGAAGCAGCCATTGTGAATTCACTCGTGCTCCCAGGATGCTGGCACGGATGCTGAAAACTATAGCCGACCGCCTGATGAGGCCTGGCATCAGGCACATAAGACAGCAACCGTTGACGAGCACGGGCAGAGCGGCACCGAGACGAGAAGAGTAAGATTTGTTTATGGCCGCGCCAGGTCATTGAAACTTGGTCAGCTGAGGCAATGCCTTCCGCAGGCGGATATCACCTGCAAATCGGCCAAGCAACCGGAACACGCCCGTGCGCGAGAGGCGTACCGAGTGACCCGCTGAAACTCCCTGCTGATGAACACTACTGAATGGACATCGCCGAGCCCATGTTTCAGGTGGCGAGATCAATCAGAACCTGAACCAAGGATCGCAATCTGCAACAAAAGCGGCGGATGCCGTTGCAACCGTCAAACAGCAGATGCAATTCAAGAATGAGTTGCATCTGAAACGAGAGACACGCGCTGCTGACAATCACAGGAAATAGACGCTTCCTTGTGGCCATCCTCGCCCAAGAGTCCGCCGACGGAAATACGGGTAAAATCGAGGTGCTTGACGTAGAAATTCACATACCGGATTCCTTGCTGCGTCTTTGGGCAACCTTCGTGCGAACTCCGTTAAACAGCCCGTGGAAACTCATCCATTTGGACTCTGCGCCACAGTCGGGGTCGTCTGCACGGAAGGTGAACCACCAGGCTGCAAAGCACTTGGCCACCCACTTTCCAGTTACGTTCATGTTCATGAAATACGTGTCCGTACAGATCTCCAAACGTATACGCAACTGCCTGATCGTAGAACGATGTGTCTTCAATGCTCGCCCGCCTCGGGATGTGAACCACAACGTGCTCGCCAGGCTGCATCAAGTTATATCACTCTCCATGAATGTATCGCAAATGTTGGTCGCCTACTGTACTACTCAGGGCCTTGTTCGACGTCGCCGAGTTCTCGTCATCGGAATTTGTAGCAAGCGCGGGGTAAGCTTCGACCCACCCAGGGAAGCCTGCGAGATCCTGCGTGAGTAATGCCATCAAATATTATCAGAGCTCCAGTGGTCGGAAGAGCCGGGAAAAAGAATACATGGATGTAGACGTAAGCCAAACTTGTGCCGTCAACATTCTCAGTCGTCGCGTAATCCCCAGAATTGGCGAAAACCGATACGACCAAACCGAACCCGTGATTGTGGACACGGCCTGGGTCGTCATGACATTCACCGTGATCGTCGCCTCTTGGAGTCGTTTCACCGCCATTGTTGAGCCACTGGTCCTGCTGGCTCACGTGGGGCCTGCTGCTGTCGGGCACTGCAGAAGTCTGGAGCATCTGCACGTCGCTCTGGAGAGCGGTGTCGATGGCACGCAAGCTGCTGGGCTGGCACTCTGTGAACCCGTGGTCAGTCCACCCGTGGCTTGCTCCGAACGAGGCGGCCAAGCAAGTCACTGCAAGACCTCCAACACGCTGCATCTCCATTTCTGAAAACTCAGAGATGCCAAGAGGGAACACGTTCAAGAATGTGGGGAATGAAATGCGCGAGCAAGTTCAATGTCGGAGCTGTCGCCGAAGCTGCCAAGCTTGAGCCAGATACGGTTACGGAGAATCGCTGAGCCCGTCTTGGGCCGTCTTTGGGCCCTCTTGGGGATCCCCTGGGACGTCTGGCGCCCGTCCAGGGGCACTCTCAGGGCCGTCTTGGGCCACCCTGGGGGCCTTCGTGGGGCCCTCTTGAGCCGCCAAGGACCTCTTGGGCCAGCGTGGGGCCTTCGTGGGCCCTCTTGGGACTCTTTGTCGGGCCGTCTAGGGACAGCTCGGGGGCCTCGCGGCCCGTCGCGGGCGCCCAGGAGGAACGGACAAGCAAGTCTGCGAGCAAAACCCTACATCAAATCAATGACACATTCCTGATTGCTGTGCTCCGAGACCCTTGGGTCCGTCAGCGGGGGTGTTGAGATCGTCAGGGCCGCCTGGCAAGCACTTGGGCTGTCCCTCGGCCCTGTCGGGCCGCTCTGGTCGCTCAGTCGTGCCCTCTGGAAATGTTTTCAGCGGCCCGAGGGGAGGTCTTGAAGGCCCTGTGATTCACCCAGGGGGGCTCGGACTAAGGGCCAAGGTGCGTGTGCGGCTTGGAAGCGCTGGAAGCCTTGCGACCTCTTGGGGCTGGAGAGGTTCTCGCGCGCCTCGCGCGCGCTCAGGGCCCGGCTCTTACTGCTTTGCCCTACAAATATACGTGCGCACATCTGTACACCCGTCCGTTCCTACACCAATCCAACCATACCTTCGTCCACACATCCCACCATGTGGAACGGGCGAATACCTTATCCAACTACATTCATCCAAGCACAAGACATCACACAAGGCATGACCCGCCTGTGAAATAATCGATCCAACAATCCATCGGTGTGCTTCTCCTCACAAACGTCTGTACACTGCAAACCCATCCAATCGCCCATCTCCTCACTCATCTCCGCCACTGCGGGGTGCTACGGAAACAGATAGCATGGCGTCATCCAAGATGGATGGCGGGCCGATCGAGTCTCGGGTCGCCGCCGAGCCGAGGAGTAGACAATTTCGGGAGGGAGGTACTGTGATAAGAAAGACGTGCGCCTGGCAGCAGAAGCGCGGGCGGTGCTTCCCCATCTATTCGCACCACTGATTCTGCTGACTGCTGGCAAACATGCTCCTTCTGAGCGCTGCTCCCTACGCTCGCTTGCACACACAACTACACGCCGGACGGGAGAAATAGGTGAGAACATGAAGTAGGAATGCGGTTAAAATCCGCCGGCCCCCTTGTGGGGCCGCCAGGCTGCGAGGCGCGTGATTCGCAGTTTCCTGTACCAGTTGTAGTTTGTAGTTTCCAGTGTTACAGTTCTGCTTCTTGCTGGTTACTGTAACTAGTTGACTTCTTGCTGGTTACTGTAACTAGTTGATTGACCGCGCGAGGGGGGGAAAAAAAACAAGAGGGAAAAAGAAAAAGGAGAAAATTGAGCAAATAGAAACAAAAAATGAGGGAAAAAAAGAGTAAGAAAAAAACAAGAGGTAAAAAAAAAAAAAAAAAAAAAGGAAAAAAAAAAAAGAGAAAGAAAAAGAAAAAAAAAACAAAAAAAAAAAAGGAATCGAAAAAAAAAAATAATGAAACACACAAAAAAGAAAAAACAGGCAGAACAAAAGACAAAAGAAGACAAAAAACTAGGGGAGAGGGAGGCCCAAACCGGCTTTTTAGCGTCCCCTGGGCGCGTTGTCTGAATTGCTGGGGGGCTCGAAATCGCCACCCCTCACGCAGATCCGCGGGGTCAGGGTCCAAAAACACATGGGATTTGCCACATTTCTGAAATTCGGTGCCACCCCTCACGCAGATCCGCGGGGTCAGGGTCTAAAAACACAAGGGATTTGCTACATTTCTGCAATTCGGTGCCACCCCTCACGCAGATCCGCGGCGTCAGGGTCCAAAAACACAAGGATTTGCCACCTTTCTGACATTCGACGCCACCCCTTACGCAGATCCGCGGGGTCAGGGTCCAAAAACACAAGGGATTTGGCACATTTCTGAAATTCGGTGCCACCCTTCACGCACATCCATCGCAAGGCGTGGTAACCCAAACTGCGAGAACTCCCTCGGCCCTTTAATTGCAAGGTGTGGTAACCAAGCCCGTACACCATAAACGTCTTACCAATCGCCAGGTGTGGTAACCCCTCTTGTGATCAGTTGGTTTTGCTGATTGCGAATCGGCTTCGCATGAAGTTTCGATACTGCTTCACAACAGCGCCAAGGCCTCATGACTTAGCTCTTCCATGGCCCATTCTCCGAGAGAGGGGGCCGGCGGCAGGGGGCGAAGCCCTTACGGATAGATTGGCTTCAGGCCCTCCCAGAGAAAAACAGACACACAGCAGAAGCATATCGATTCTTGGAATAGAGAAGCGCTTAAATAAGATTCGGATCTGGGAATCCAAAAATACCCACTTCCAACGACCGGCGTGTATGGGTGACGTGGTACAAATACCATTCTCCTCCTTCCCTCTCTTCCTCCCTCCTCTCGGTCTTCCTTCTTCTCCATGGTGCTGGAGCGTTTTGAAGCACCCGCCCTCCAAACCTGCACTTGCATGAAGGAAACTTGTCCTGGAGGGAAACCAGGCCTGGAAAGTGAGCGTTCTCTTCGGCGTTTCGACATTGAGCGGAGGGGAGGGGCGGGGGGGGACTCTGGCTCCGGTCCTCTGCTCAACGCGACGGTTTGCCGCAGTGCGTCCTATGGGGGAGACTCCACTTGCTCCAAACAGGCGCCCAAAAACTGCTAAGATCTACTCCAGGAGGAGGGGAGATGGGGGGTGCGAGGGCCCGCGCCGATCGGCAAAACAATGAATTATCCTGGCGAAAGACCCAACCATATGCAATTATGAGTACCTCAATTGTGAATATTTTCTTCGGTGGCGATCCCTATGGGGCCACGAACCGTTCGAGGGGTATACCGACATGTTTGGCGGGGTGCACAACACGAACGGAAATGATAGGCCTGATCAGGGGGGACTGAGCGCGGGTAAGACTGAGCGCGAGCGCGTTTGATTGTGATTGAGTCTGCGCGCGAGTAAATGTATGTGCATGAATGCGAGCATGGATACGCCTAGTGTAAATGTATGTGACTGTGAATGCTGGGCGTGGCGGGGGCGTAACGGGCTACAAAGCGTGTGAGGGGCGTGCTGGGCGTGGCGGACTCATGTGGCCTCCCCCACTGGGGCCTCGGGTGGAGCTCCTTCTGGGGCCACGAAGCGACGTACTGGGTGTGGCGGACGCATGTGGCCACTCCCACTGGGACCTTGGGTGGAGCTCCCTATGGGGCCACGAAACGCTGTACTCGGTGTGGCGGACGCATGTGGCCACCCCCACTGGTCCCTATGGGGCCACGAAACGCTGTGCTGGGTGTGGCCGACGCAAGTGGCCACCGCCACTGGGACCTGGGGTGGAGCTCCCTATGGGGCCACGAAACGCTGTGCTGGGTGTGGCGGATGCATGTGGCCACCCCCACTGGGGCCTCGGGTGAAGCTCCCTAACGGGACCACGAAACTCTGTACTGGGTGTGGCCACGCATGTGCCCCCCCCCCCTGGGGAAA